GGGCGTATCGGGCGTTCCATAAATCTTCGCTCGCTGTCCGTCGGGACGTTCGGCGGAATTTATCGGGAGGATCGGACTTCAATTTCGAGAAATATACTGGCCGGTACATTGCGTAAATTCGATGGAAATTCTTTTCGAACTGGTCTGCTCCCCCGTAAAGCACGGCTCGCGACTAAAATTTGCATCTCGTGGCAGCACCGTCGCTTAGATTCCAAATTTTTTTTCAGATCATAGGCTTTTTCGCTTTTATTCGCGACTTCGTACCCTCGCTGAGAATTATGCGATGTTATATAGCCGGGATACTTTATGGATCCGGTCCAAATATCATCGCGATCGCTCCAGCTGTTTCCCTGTTACGCGATAACAAAGACACAGCCATTACGGGGCGACACTTCCCACACTCGCCGCCAGAGGGATTCGCTCGCATCTTTTTCACAGGAACTGGACCATCTATTCCCATATACAGGCTTCTCGACCAAGCACTGAATCTCACACGTATAGTTTTTTTGGTGCCATTTTTCTACACAAAATATTAAATCTTGCCCCTAGTATAAGCAACTATTCTTAAAACTATCTTGTAAGTAGCATCAAGTGCGACGGACATTATTTAATGTTAATTTTACGCGAGCTCTATGTTGAGCCATTGGTCCAAATTGTAGTCCTAGTTATAAGTTAGCCGTTTGCATAATATAATAAATATAATTGTTTTCTTGGCACAATAAACGTTCGTTAAATCATACAGAGTCTCACACGGGTGTTCTTAGATAGAGAACCCTTTCTCAAAGTTTTACAGCTTACTTCGAAGATGATACATTAATCGAGTAAGCTTAACAAATAAAGAGTAAAGCAATATTCTCAATGTATAAAGAGTCTCAATGTATCAAATCTACCGAGTTTAAATATCACCAAAATGTCTCTACTTTTCGAGACAATTTAACAATCGACTGTTTTAGGTTAGACTCGTGCATTTTCCCCCAGTTACACAGTAATCCGCGTTACTTTTATCGTTACCGAACAGTCCCGTGAGTCGCGTAATTACGCTGATACGTTCGATGTTGCAGGAAACCGGGAGCCAGCGATCGTTAGTGCAAGTTAATTTTTTTCTTTTTTCTGTTAAAACGGGGCGCTTAAGCCGGATAATTTCGTTACTTCTGGCAGCCGCTTCCTGGTTCTACGCGCGACAGCCAGGACAGGTGCGTGGTCCGTTTTGCTCCATTCTGATGTCGCCTCGCCGCGCCACTCACGTCTGTATTTTGCCCCGGAAAGTAAGCCGATGGTATCGAGGGGGGGGGACACCCCCTCGCGATGTGCACCGACACGATGCATTTGTAAGCGCGAGCGACTATAAATAATCGGCGTCCTCGCTACCTGAGCGCGTCTCGCTCGCTGGTTGCATGGGCGCCGTGTACACGGTGAACGACCGCTCGTAAATTCGCCTTCGTCCCCAGTTACCTATAGAAATTAGGCCCTCCGCGTTTTTACGTCCGGATACCCAAAATATTTTCTCCTTTTCTTTCCTCGTATTTTTGGCCCCGGAAGTGTCGCTCGAACGCGCGAGTCTGGCTCAACCGGACGTGTTGGGAATTCCAACAGTTATTAGTAGACTGCGGATTTTTATGCAAATTCGTATATTTATTAATAAAATTTGTGGCGGGTAGAGGATCTCGTGAGAATTCGTAGGAGGACAGAAAAGGAAAGGAGAGGGCGCTAGTAGTGGAGTCATCTGTAAATCTTTCTAGCAGGCCCTGCCTTAGACGACTAGGATATTGGGAGGTCGTTCGAGGAGTGTATATATAGCAACCGAGGGGTCGTGAGAGCGCTTGTGAGAGCGCGACCCCTCTGGTGGCGAGCATGGGAGGCGACGCCACAAATTAATAAAATAAGAGCTTCGTAGAGGGTTCTTTCAACCCCTAAATACAATAATTCTTATCTTACTTGAGTTTTGACATTTGTTAGAGTTGTTAGAACATCTTAAGAACTCCATAAGAATCGAACCAAGAATATTGAAAATTAAACTGTTAACACATATATATATAATTGTAAATAAATTCGAGTATTTGTAAATAGTATTGAACTTTCTATTTACTAAATAAAACGGCTCCACGAACATAGTGGGAGCCTACAGGACGTTCGAGACTAGTCGCCATCTTGTTTTCTTCCGTATTTCTTCCGTCCACGAAAACGGTGAAGAGCATTAATAATTATAATTATAAGAGCAGATAGTATTTAGGAATAGTGCTGTGCAGGAGAGAACAGGCTCGTCGAACAGCATTTTTTCGGTTTTGTTGTCTTTGTTGCTGCTTCCGCTGATGCTCCGCCGACAACAAACTTGCTGCCGCGGAGGCAGCGATGTGATCTACCGTGCTAATACTCGACTGGTCCCGCGAACACGCGATAAAAGCGATTGCTTTCGAGTAGCGTCGTAAAGAAGAGGGCCCCCTCAACCCCCCCACGTCCCGCCGCACCTGGTAGCAGCCCCCTTAGAAAATAACGAGGCGCCCCCGAACGATTTATTTCCGGGGGACCACGCTCGAAAACCCAACGCCGCGAGAAACGGGGGGCTAGCAATTTTTCATTTGATTTATCTCCTCGAACGAAGCAAATTTTTCTCTTATCCACGCGGGAAGCAATAAAATTGAATAAATATATTCGTGACTTTGTCCTGTACGTTCACAAAATCGTACATGTTTCATAATTGAAAAATAACGAGGATAGTAGTGACTTTATTTTTATTAATTAACAATCTTTTTTTGTGGTCAATCATTCAATGAACAAATTTAAAAAATTATTTGGAGTTAAATGATACATCAATTCATTTATGTTTAAGTTAATATATAATAAATATAAATGTATTATTAATACATTATTATCAATGTATTATCAATGTATATTCTGGCTCATCGTCTCTTAGTCGCCATTTTGTTAATAAGGGTAGAGTTCACCTAGGTTTTAATTATGAAAATTTTAATTAGGGATTCTAGAGGCCAAAATAAGACGAAAATCAAGAATACCAATTTGTTGATGGAGGCTTCCTTAAAAAGTTATTAACAATTAAAATCAAAAATTTCAAATCGTTCTGGAAAAATTATTTTCGGTTGCGGGGGTCAATTACAATAATTTTTGGTCAATAGACATACCCCCGAAATCCTTCGCATTTTCGAGAAAAAAATTCATTACAAATGGAACTTTAAACGTTAATAACTTTTTAACAAAGCCTCCATCAACAAATTGGTATTCTTGATTTTCGTCATATTTTGGCCTCTAGAATCCCCCGTTAAAATTTTTCCACCGCCATCGCTATGAATCGATCGTAATGGCGACGGTTCGAGACCTAACCTCTCGCGTCGATCGTGGCGCAACAGATACGAGGAAATTCGTTACCCGGCCCCGGATCCGATGTCCCTATCCTTCGAGTCATTACTCATTCTCACTCCCTCTATTATGGACGCTTTATATTGATTTCACTTCCACCGCCCACGATAATTTTCTCCGGATCCGAGATCACGGGTGCCTCGAAATCGAGAAGTTTCCAAAAGAGCGTTGCAACATTACTTTACGAAACGTTGTAACGCGCCGCTGCGAACAGGAGAAAGGTGTTCCGTTCGTGTCGTCGACGCTCGTAAAACTTAGAGAACCGTGATTTCCGTTTCGACGGGATGCTTTTCGTGAACTCGACGATGTTACACGGACGTTTATAACTCCTCGCGGTCTCCGCTGGTGAACGTTTCCACTCGACGAATTTGCTCGAACTTGTAACCGTTTAGGAGTCGCTGTTAATTGGTTTTTTTTTTATATTTTTACGCGACACGGAATTCGAGACTTTACGGACCCCGACTTCTGCACGTTTCATATTTCTTAAATTATATTTTCTTACTAATTAGTTTCTTCTTACTTTGAGACGAATTAAATCCAGGAATTTGAATTACACTTTATTGGTAATAAATTGTCAAAAGTGAGAATATGTGGAACGTTCGACCGCGATAACGGGAAAGTTCTGCAACAACGTCGACGTGGTTTTTGTTTTTTGGGGTTTCGTGTCGCGTACAGAACCGGACGGTGATTTTCAGTTCAAGTTTCACCGCGTCTCGTGTAGCAATTTGGTCGGAATTTGGGACTCGCGCATGCAAATTTTAAATCTCCTGTACGGATCGTGTAGCGAGACGACGAGAACAGGGACACTATGGTGTCGAAACGCGTCGCTGGGAATCGCCGTTCCGCCTATTTAGGGGAAAAAAGGGGTTTTAGAGGGGCGTGTTTTTTATCGCGAAATCGAGGCCCTGTAAGAGATACGTGCTCTCCTCGTGCACGCTTATTTTCTTCCCAAAGACACGGGCGACGAAGGGATCCCGAAGATAAGACCCCATTCTTAACGCAGCCGTTATCATCGCCGGGTTAAGTTACAAGATGGCTGACTTTTCGGGAACAAGACCCGCCCGGGGCTCTTCGTTCCTTCTAATGGCACTTTAATCTGCGTTGAAAGGGGAAAACGACAGACTTACTTTGTTTTTTCAGGTTAGGTTCGATAACAGTTCTTGCCATTTGCAGAGGGCTTTCTTTTTTAGGTTAGGTTTACTAAGAACTCTTCTTATGTGTAAAGTTTGCTGTGTCCACTTGCATATTGTTAAAATTATGTGAAAATAAATCAGTTTACCTAACACAGAGCACGTTTAACACTAAATTTACGAGCATTGATCACACGTATATTTACTGACAACTTTCATGTTGACGATTACCTTGCAATACGATTTTTATTTTAATTAGAATATCTATTCATGCCAGTGCATCAATCAAATTTAACATAAGTTGTTAAAAAATAATATTTACGCGTTCTGCAATGTTAAATATGGAATCAGACATCCGTAAAATTCAGGGCTTCCGTAAATCTAGTGTTAAGGTTATGTTTGTATATTTTCTACTGTTAAGGTTATGTTTTAATATTTCTTTAAAATTCTGAATTTGGTACTGTTCGTAGTGTTTTAAATAATGGTGGCTTTCCATAGGATTTAGTTGCTAGAAAGGATGCCGTGTAACGATGATTTCGAGGTGGCATAATTAAGGACGCAAACATCACGCCCACTTAGAGCACACCACGGACGATTGAAAGCAAAGAATCGAAGATTGATGATGCCATTTGGATAATCGCCACCGTCGCCGACTGGCTCACGGCGGTTTTTGAATAAAGAAGAATCGGTTTCTTCGCGGCGACGGCGTGAAAATGGGACCTGGACGCCTGGTTGAATAGCGGCTGCACAAATCACCGTCGCTCGAATGAATGAAAGGAATGACCCATTTCCGGATGCTACCATATACGCCGATTTCTGACTCATCTCCTCGGACGCCGTTCCACGTCCTTGTTCCTCCTACGGTACATTGAAAACGAAACTGGTTATTTTTCTCTTCGGCTTCCTACTTCTATTCAATAACACGTAGACGCAGCCTCGGGGCGAAAGTGAGCTTCGTTTGGCAATCGAACGATGCCAGAGATCTTTCAACACCCTTTGTTTGGAGGTTAGGAGGATCGGTGTCAATTTTTCACGAAACGTGAAACGACGAATGGCTACAAAAGGCGCGCTGTATACGTCAGACTGTAAACTACGTTTCAACACTGTGATCTGTTTATTCTGGTAACTATTTCACTCTTCTATTTTTCTCTTGCAGATTCTAACCAGAAATCGACGCCATTTTTAAGTTAACCTTTCTAGCTATATTAACACGGTTCAATGCCAGATCAAAAATGCAATATTCCGAGCAAGTAAAATTTTCATTTCAGACCATTGCAAGCTACATAACCTAAAATTTGTTTCAGTACTTATTTTCGTTAGCTTGTTGAAATTCACAAATTCTATTCGAAGTTATTTCCCCCAATGTCTTGAGAATTAATTTTTCTAGCATCATAATGGTAAATCCTGTTATCCATATATGGTCATATATTTGACACCCATAAGTGTTAAAAATAGTTCCAAATGGAACGAAAGGAACAAAAGGAGGTTACAAAAGGTTAGCAACCTTATTGCTAATGATAAGCTACGATCTATTATTTTGGAAACTGTTTTATTTTTTTGATTTTCTCCAGAAAATTCTAACCGGAGCCTTGGAGAGTCGATCGGAGAGTAACGAGGCGCAGGTTCACGAACGAAAGGAGGTTAAAAGAGGTTGAAACGAGGGTCCCCGTTGTCGTATAGAGGGGGAGGGGGGTTTGGGGGGTTTGGGGGGGCATCGCGCCGGAAGAATTTAGCCGTAGTCTCCCGGCGTGGTTATTATGCCTGCCTTAACGTTCCTCGCATTTGCGTTCTGCTGCCCACGCGAGGCGACCGCCCCTTTAACATCGCCGGTATTCGCCTGATTTATGAATGCCCTGGCTATATTTAACAGCGTGTTCGCCATTGAAGACATGCCTTAGGCAGCGAGGCGAGCCGGTACCGGCGAGATGTCGCTTACGAGAGACGTTAGGGTAGGTGTACATCGGAGAGAGGACGTAACGCCACGTAATGCGGTGTTGGGAACCACCTTCCAAACTTCGATGGCGTCTACGGGCTCCATCGCTCCTGAGACGCTCGTAGCTTCGTTTCGACTCTTCCTCTTTGATACCCTAACGTTGGACACTCGAAATAGGCTCCAAGCTATCGAACAACTGAGATCATAGACCAGAAATTATGTGTCCCTGATCTTTGCTAGGAGGGTACTCGTTGGAAACAGTCTTCAGACTTTAGAGCACTAGTAGAGGAGGAAGAGTAGAGTATAGAGTATGGATAGTGGTGTCTGGACCAAGTAGAACCGATAGACTCATCTGTAAGGCATCTGGGTCTAGAAATTGTTAGGTTGTCAATGACTCTAGCTTCAAACCTAGTGTTCCACACTCTATCAGACCTTCATTTTGTTTGATATGGGGTACGATCAACCTGGACCAGGTCTCTGAACCCCAAAACTGAACTGCAACTACTCTAAAGAGGATCCCTGACCAAGTACAGCTGATAGACTCATCTGTAAATCATTTCGTCTACATTTTAACTGACTCTAGCTTCAAACCTAGTGTTTCACACTCTATCATACCTTCATTTTATTTGATATGGGGTACGATCAACCTGGACCAGGTCTAGTGAACCCCAAAACTGAACTGCAACTACTCTAAAGAGGATCCTAGCCAAGTACAGCTGATAGACTCACCTGTAAATCATTTTGTCTACATTTTAACCGACTCTGGCTTGCAACCTACTTTTTCCCACTCCTCCAGACACTCACGATCCAGACCTGATCTCAAAACCGAACAGATCCAAACCATTCGACGTTGCAAAACGCTGGCTAGCAAATTTGATCTTGGATCGTCAACGAATCATTGTTTTATGCCGGAGTCGTTCTCGCGCCAAGGTTTCCCCCGATCCCCAAGAGTTCCCCAGGCATCCGTTCGTAAATAGTCGGGTGATCTGTTTCTGTTTGCACGGGTGTTTATAGGTGGGCCGCGCGCGCTGATTTATTTAGACGCGCGAAATAGTCCGCATATCTCGACGTCGCTTTGATTAAACGACGGACAACGTAAAATTCGGATAATCCTCCGGGTCCAAGTGACCGTGAACGTCGCGGGGCCGTTCCGTTCGGTTTATTCTTGATGCTGTTTGGCCACGTGTGCTCGCGTAAACGCCGCGCGAAGGGCCTTTGGTCGTGCAATTCGCAGCGTGGACCAACCACCCAAGTGGCACACTTCCCCAATTCCACATTGTTCGGCCGCGGTGCGTTCGAAACGCAAGATACGCGAGCTAGATCGATTTTGTAGGTTACGTTCGACGCCAAACATGGCGCTAGTGTAGCTTCCGCTATGGCGAACCGTTCCTCTGCTTTTCACGACCTGTCGCTACGTTCCTCCACGCTGAATTTAATTTATTTCGAATATCAACTTTGAAGACGAGTGAAAGAAGTTAGGTTAGGAATCTTAAATTTTCCGGTCGGTAATGCAGGCTGAATCTTAGAGAGGAAACTATTCGAATATTATTTATTTGTTTATAGTATGCCGAGCGTTGAAATAATCAGATTCCAAAAACAGTGATTCGACCCCTCCCCCCCTCCATCGATATTACTGCAATCTGTGTTTCGCTGCTCTAATCTCGGTAATACCCCGAGCCACGGTAATTTGCATGCATTAAATCGATCGAGATAAGGATCTCGGTCTGGATGGCGTTATCCTGGATCATCGAAGAGCTGTATCAGATATCCGATTACGCGTGGCACCAGCCTCACTTGTCGCTGTTCCTTGCTCGATCATAAAAACCTCGATCGTTTTCCGTGCACTCATGTTTTCCTTCCGTTCGCTGTGTTAGTTGTTCAACCATGATGTATTTCTAACATGGCCACCACATGGACGAAACACTTCAATTTTTTAGAACCTTTTCACAGTTCCACAATTTCCATTTCTTTTATTTTGTGGAGTCCTGCTTCAAACTCTGGGATATTGAGTAGTCAATGGTACTAATGGAAAGTTGCTCGAGCGCTTGCGAGAGAGACGAGAGCGTGGCCCTCTGGCGGCGAGAACAGCAAACTATGGACCCCGCCAATTTATTAAAATACGATTGCTAGTTCCAATAACCCTAGACTAGTCCCAAGTCTTCCATTTCGAAAATTCGAGTCTCTTCCACTCTTTAAGTGACTGTAGACGACATCCACCTATCGTCCACGATAACTGGAGGCTGTTTGCTACCAAAGCGATTTCAAAAATACAAGTCGACGTTCCCTGCCGGTTTCTCGGTCACGCCAGTCCCACCGGTAATTACAATTTCAAAAGGCAGCCCTTATCAGTGGCAGCGGCGCGTGATTAACACCGAGGCGCTCCGCGAGTAACGCCGTACGAATTATCCGGTCGTTATCGTGGCTCATAGCCCCCGACGACGGGCTCTCGGTTATTCTCTCTAGGCGTTATCGAGGACCAGGACTCGTGTCATCCGCTAAAAGAGCTCGCTCTATCGAGATCTACATAGTTGCATAACTTGAAACGAGCCATCGATTCTCGGAGCCGGGGCGAGTTGCAGCGGCCTAGAGGTGAAGAGCAAGGCGTGATGAGGCCGGTGCACCCAGCCCGATGCCCGATAACGAACCACCGGCGCTTACTGCCTGCAGAAAACGATCTCACTTCTTAACTGTCTTCCACCAGATCCTCCTCGATGCTCGACGTTCTTACCAAACCGCCTATTCCTACACGATCTCTTGTTTGGGCACCGCTACTCCGCCACTGGAGGGGGCTTCTTCGTCATTTATTTGACTATTTAAACAGATGGATCCTTCACAAATTACATTAAAAATTCCCAAGTATCCATTTCTATCAGAGTCGTAGACTTTGGAGGCTTGTATCATTTAAACAACTTCGAAGCCAGCAAAATGATGACTTAAACTACCCCTAGTATCACATGGACCATATCATACTGAATTTTGAACAAAATCCCCAGACGTTGAAGGTGAGAAGTGATTTCTACCAGATTCAACGTGGAGTGACCCTCACAGAAAGTGATCTCCCTTTTCAATTGTTTTCCAAACGTAATTTATAGTAAATATGAACTGAAAAGTGCACGAATTCATGGACCAAGGTAGACCAAGGTAGGGGCGAGTGATTTAGCATCTTGCAGATTGAAATTGAAGACGATTCCGGTTCTTTTGTGGCGAGCAACCGCGATATCGGACGCGGAAGCTTGAACATCTCCCACGTTTTCTAGGTCAGCGCAAAAAGACGGATTATCCGTGTCTCGGCGAAGAAGGAACCTCCGCGAAAGCGAGAGTGGCCGGTAGGTGCACGTGAATAGAAGCCACGTCCGGATCCAATTAAATCACGCGGCAGCAAATCATCGCCCGCGTACGAGGGACAGAGACGCTCTCGCACTCGCAATAAGTCATCTTTCAGAGGAACTTTCCACCGTGTCGAGTTGTCTGGATCTAATTAATAGAAATTAATCGCCATAGTATCGCGGATGGCAGCTTTTCCCTCTCGATTTTCCTACCTGGACTTGCCCACAATGGACGTGAAATCTCCTCCAGCAGGCACCCCACAATTCATAGTCAATCTGCCCCATTTGAACACCAACGTTCCTTTAGAATATCTTCAAAAATGGACGGAGCAGATCAGATTTCAGACTTCAGATTTCAAGTGTTTCCCCCCCTTTTGGAGAATAGATTTTTCTTTCAAATTAATTTCTTACATATCAACCCTTCATGGACTCAAGTTTCGTCTTAAATATAAACTTACAAGGCATTTACTTTGATATTTCAATCAACAATCACATCATTTGATATTTCAATCACATTTACATCAATATTGTTATTGGTTATCTTGAAGACATTATACGAGTAAGACGTATACGCCATCTTGTGAAAAAATTAAAGTTGAGCTGAGAGTTACACGGGTTCATAGATGGGTTAAGGGTGGTAAAAATATGCGACAGTAATTTTTTAGGTATTTTGGGGGGAATTTGGTGCAACGCGATTTGTGAACGGTTTCGAAGATGGAGGCGTTCGGTGTGGAACGCCCTTAAGCACGCATGTGGCCCCGTGGGTACGTGGGCGCGCGATTTTTCCCCGTTCGGCGTCGATTTTAATAAGGAACAACGACGACGAGACGCTGTTATGACGGCTCGAAGGTGGTGCAGTAAAACCGGGCGATAAAGATACGCGCCGGGGCGGGGTGACCGCGGCCGCTCCGTCGCAGATACTGTTACTAAGTGTCGTAAAGTTTGCGTACGCGGTGTGGGTCGCGGATGAATTCATTGTAGGTGCCTCGTTTCCCAGTAAGCTCCGGAACCCCTTTGCGACCAGCGAAAGTAGCTCAACGGGCGAAAGTGTCATCCTCGCGAACGATTTTACACTTTCGTTTTTAGTTTTACCGGCTCGACACTTTTTCACCGGCGCCACCGTCGTACTCCGCCATTTTCCTCGCTCGTGGCGCCAACTCTCCAGACTGCAACTATACAGTTCCCATTTCAACGCGTTCACTGTTACAATTCCATTTCTTTATGGTCGAAAACTATTTAAAATTTATTAAAATTCATTTTCTTTAACATCTCACCTTTAAGACGATAGATACTGAGAATTATTATACTCTAATGGAAGACTTAGGTAAATTTTCAGGGATCCAATCGAGTAAATATTTTACAATTTTTAATAGAAATTACGAATGGGTAATTTCGATCTCCTTGATACTTCTAGTGTTAAGTTTTTTGTGAAGCCATTTCTATACTTGAACAACACGAGGGAACTATGCTACGAATAATTCATTTCTCCGCCCCCATTTGATTGAAAATAATCTACAGGATATTTAGAATATTTTATTTACTCCAGTTCATACAATTATAAAAATCAACCTTACAAAATACTCCAAACTGAACTATGAAAAATATAAATAAAACCCCTCACGTAAACCTACTAGCATGCCCCGTCACGGTTTCGCTCGACCTTGTGCAAAAGCAATTTATGACCAGACGATCGTCCTGACATACATATCCGCGATAATGCAATTCTCTCGCGAGAAAGCGCTCGAGAAGCTTCGCCACCTGGCGGTAACATCGCAGTACTGCTACGCATGCGCGCGCAAGTAGACTGTCGTATACAGGGGTCGCGTGCTCTGCCAAACAGTCCTACACATGAATTCTTTGCATATAAATTACATGTTAATAACGCGCTTCTGAGACATGCTACATAGCCTATGCCCGTCCTAGAGTATGCAGGAATAACGTGTCAAAATTTGAGGAAGATCGGTTCAATAGGTCTTGAGTTTTGCGCGAACATAAAAATCGGCTCTCTCTTACAAGCTTCCATATTGCAATTAGGACTCTGACCACGCATCGAAGTCTCCACAGAAACACTGCGCGATCCCATTCCCTCGCGAACAATAAAATCTCAATTCGATCGAAAATCTTGTTTCTACAATCAGTACGAACTCCATTATTATTACAACCATCGAATCATCGTGTTTAATTGCAAAATTATCTCTTTTGAACTCTCCTGCGAGCACGATGAATGCAAACGAAAGGAGGACAGAAAATGTTTGCACAGGTGGTTACAATTTTTTGCAAAGAATTTCGCAAGGCGATTTGATCGTGACTCGTTTTGGTGTGTTTGATCGTCGAAATTAAACACGCCTCGACACTTATGGACCCTCCTCCCATACGTAACATCTTCGTACGAGTTTTGTTGAAGAATCGCGAGATGTTCGGCGTGTTTTGAAACTCGATTTTCTTGCTCGTAGTCGGGGATTCTATGGAGCGACGTATCATCGTTACGGCTCCTCCGTTATCGATGATAATTGCACCAGACGTCCATGATGTCTGATTGGCACCTTGTTGCATCGTAATGATCCAGCCGGTTCAATCAATCGCCATTCATTCTAATTGCAACGACGGAAACTGTTGCGTTTCAGACCGAGGGGGATATCTTTGGCGAATTTTTTTGCTTGCTCCGGGCAGGTGTCATTAAATTCAATCAACTTCCTACGCGTGCAGTTTTGTTTGGTTTTGTTCGCCCGTTAGACGGGAGTATTTGCGAAAATATTACGTGGTGCATTAATCCTAGGCAGTTAGGGAGATTTTTGAGAACGCAGAGACAAGAGATAGAGTCTACTTGGAGGGGATCAGGTGGGCGTATCGGTGAAGTAACAAATTGCAACGCTGTAAGATGAAATAATGTATTGTTTGGACAATGAGCGTTCCGTTCTGATAGAACAGTCCGATTGTCTGTGAGATCGGGGGTAGTACGAAACGCTCCTGGCTAGAAAGGATCCGTAAATGGCTCGGGAATAAGCTCGAGATAGCTGATGATGTTAATAGATACTCGACACGATGCTAACCGATCGTAGGATCAACGAAGCACCGATCGATCGTGTTTGAACGGAGGATTTGGGTCTCGTAGGCGGTCGTGTCGAGAGCTGTTCGACACGAAATTAATTTACGGCCGCTTAACGGGATACGAAGGATCGAAAGGGCATCGGTATCGTATCAAAAATGGCCGATCGCGTATCTAGATCTTTCTTCGATCCAAAACTCAACGAGAATCAACGCGACGTACTTTCCAAAACATTTCGATGCTGTTTCAATCGACGAAGAAATCATTTCAGCGAAACGTGTTTCACCGTGAAAAGGAATCGTTAAAATTTGTCACGATCGTGACACTTTCCTTCCTTATCGTTCGAAAAGTAAAAACCCATTTATCATATTCCGCGGTTTCGTATCGACATCGAGAGTACCCGCGGAATATAAATGTCTTTCTTGCCTCTGCACCGGGCACGGTAGATTTGTAACATTATGTATGTAGAGCTGAAGAGAAATTTAATGGAGGCCCCGAGCGTGGAATAGAATGGTCATGAATATTTATAAATTATTGCTATGTGCCTGTTATTGTTATCATTGGATACTTCTGATGAATGTCCTGGTCGGCGAGGAGGACCACACCAAGTGTTTGGAAATTATTTCCGACGGGATTCAGCGTTCTCCAATATCAGAATCCTACAAATATCTCTGTTCCAGTATTTCATACTCGATCGAGACACAGGCAAATTTAATCTCTGTACGTTGTATCGAGAAAAATTGTCTTCTGCATTTGAGAGGGCGTGATTTCGCGCCGACAAAGGTTGCTGCGTGACTCGCCGTCGCGTAAGAAGCCTAATTGCCGTCCGTATAATTGTTTCCCCGGCGATTAAGCGAGCCAAAGAAAGGAGGACGATTACGTAGGAAACGCGTTGTTTAACATAATGAGCGCGACGACTCCCTCCCCTCTGGAACGCGGACGGTGGAAGAACAACTGTCGTAAATAGGTAGGATCGGGGCATGAGCAGAGATTGCAGACGGAACCTCGGGTGCACGTAGACTTCCAGAGAGTCGACAAAGGCAAATTTACACATGCTCTCTTTCTTACAGGACTCTGCTGGACACTGCTAAAACTTCTGACAACGTGTAACGATCACTACTGACTGCAACCAGCCTCTGCTGGTCTCTACATGCCTCTACTGGTCTCTGCCTATCTCTGCTCACCTCTGCTAGCCTCTGCTGACCGCTGCTGACCATTCCGCATACTTCTGACAACGTAGAACGATTACAACTTGGTACTGCCTGCCCCTGCTGGTCTCTGCTGGGCCTCTACATGCCTCTACTGGTCTCTGCCTATCTCTGCTCACCTCTGCTGGCCTCTGCTGACCGCTGCTGACCGCTCGTCATACTTCTGACAACGTAGAACGATTACAACTTGGTACTGCCTGCCCCTGCTGGTCTCTGCAGGCCTCTGCTTGCCTCTGCTGACCTCTGCTAGCCTCTACATGCCTCTACTGGTCTCTGCTTATCTCTGCTCACCTCTGCTGGCCTCTGCTGACCACTCCTCATACTTCTGACAACGTAGAACGATTACAACTTGGTACTGCTTGCCCCTGCTGGTCTCTGCAGGCCTCTACATGCCTCTGCTGACCTCTGCTGACCACTGCTGACCACTGCAGACCCTTGTTACCAACTTCTGCCATGATATATATGTATTAAAACATTGTATAATGTAAATCTATACCAATAAATGATATAATTACAAAGAATTCTATGTGTTCTCGTCATTTTTTACCTTTCTTTTCCTCTCCAAATCATTACCTTAGTTATAAGACTCCCTGAAACTCCTTGGTTTCCCTGAACCCACTAGGAAGTCCCGAACCAGCTGGAAAGTCCTGAAACAGCTGGGAAGTCCTGAAACTCAGAACTTTGCTAAAAATTCAGGGGTTCCAAGAAATTTCAGGACTTTCCAGCTGTTTCAGGCTTTTCCAGTTGTTTCAGGACTTTCCAGCTGTTTCAGGCATTTCCAAGTTGTTCCAGGCCTTTCCAAGTTGTTTCAGGACTTTCCAAGGTGTTTCAGGCCTTTCCAAGTTGTTTCAGGGCTTTCCAAGTTGTTTCAGGACTTTTCAGCTGTTTCAGGACTTTCCAACTGTTTCAGGACTTTCCAGCTGTTTCAGGACTTTCCAATTGTTTCAGTCATTTCCCAAAATTTTTGATTTTGGCAGCAAGTGCTTGGGAATCCAATTTTAACCGGGAAAACGGTCTCTTAAAACTAAGGGAATGATTTGGAGAGGAAAAGAAAGGTAAAAATGATGAGAACACATAGAATTCTTTGAAATTATATCATTTATTGCCATTGATTTACATTATACAAAGTTTTAATATATATATATGGCAGCAGTGGTCAGCAGTGGTCAGCAGAGATCAGTAGGGGTCTGCAGGGGTCAACAGAGGCCAGCTGGGGCAAGTAGTGGCAAGCAGAGACCAGCTGGGGTAAGCAGTACCAAGTTGTAATCGTTCTACGTTGTCAGAAGTATGAGGAGTGGTCAGTAGCGGTCAGCAGGGGTTAGCAGAGGCCTGTAGAGACCAGCAGTGGCAAGCAGGGGCCAGCAGGGGCAGGCAGTAGCAAGTTGTAATCGTTCTACGTTGTCAGAAGTATGAGGAGTGGTCAGCAGAGTCCAGCAGAGGCCAGCAGAGGCAAGCAGAGACCAGCAGGAGCAAGCAGGGACCAGCAGGGGCAGGCAGTACCAAGTTGTAATCGTTCTACGTTGTCAGAAGTATGAGAAGTGGTCAGCAGAGTCCAGCAGAGGCCAGCAGCGGCCAACAGAGGCCAGCAGAGACCAGCAGAGGCAAGCAGAGACCAGCAGGAGCAAGCAGTGGCAGGCAGTACCAAGTTGTAATCGTTCTACGTTGTCAGAAGTATGAGGAGTGATCAGCAGGGTCCAGCAAAGGCCAGCAGAGGCAAGCAGAGACCAGCAGGAGCAAGCAGGGACCAGCAGGGGCAGGCAGTACCAAGTTGTAATCGTTCTACGTTGTCAGAAGTATGAGGAGTGATCAGCAGGGTCCAGCAAAGGCCAGCAGAGGCAAGCAGAGACCAGCAGTGGCAAACAGGGACCAGCAGGGGCAGGCAGTACCAAGTTGTAATCGTTCTATGTTGTCAGAAGTATGAGGAGTGGTCAGCAGAGGCTGGTAGAGGCTGGCAGTAGCCTGTAATAATGGTTATACGTTGCCAGATGTATCAGAAGTGATATCTGAAATGATATACATATGTACGCTCATGCATAGGAATAATGAAAAGAAATTTCTTTGTTTTCGATAATTAAAATATAGTCGGGGGGTTTTGAGACGTGTATTTTGCTTATGTGCGTCTACATGCATAGGTCGGAAAGTAAAAATGCCTGGACAGTAGAGAATCTCGACTTGAGATTCCAAAAATCGTATGCCGTCGACGTGAGGTCGGATGTTAGTTGTTCAAGAGCGAGAAGGCAAATGAGCCTTCCTCTCTCGACCGCCACGAGACGGTCCGAAATTACTTCGGGCAGCTTCGGAGAATCGAGAGAGAGGGCATGCGTCAGTTTGCCTTTGTCGACTCTCCGAAACTGTACGAGCTCACGTATGCGAGATCTGGCATAGTGTGAGAAAGTGGAATGAGGTGTCCCCGGTGCACCCGGGGCTCCGTCTGCAATCTCTGGACACGAGGCCCTTTCGTGTCCGTGCTTATGGCTTTTTCCGTAGGCGTTTCGTGCGGACACGAACGGTTTACTTTATTCCAGGCGCTGGAATTTCTTTGTTTACGACCCGTCTAAACGCAGACGCGGCGATAGAAGTCCTCCCGTGAGACGGAAGCCACCTTTCTCTCGAATAATTAAGTCTACGGGCGATAATTGTTCAGTTTTACTCAGCTATCACAGTTTCCAGTTCGACAAATCGATCGATACCGATGGTCGGTGCTTTTTGGACACTGCGCATGCGTGAACGCACCGGCCATCTTGGAAATTGAAGATTAAGACACTAGGAACATATTATCTCGTACGTGTACGTTTAGTATTCAAGTTATTTCGAATATTATGTTATAATAGTAACCACTAGAGTTACAAACGAATGTTCATAGTTAAATTTTCCAATGTCACATTGTCAGAAAATTGATGGGCGTCGTGGGCGAATGTCAATTTGCACTTGCAGTCCTTGAAGAGGTTAAGTCTCGCGAAGATTCAACGAAACAATTGAATATTATAATCGCGGAGATTTTTCGAACCGATTAAAAGGGATTTAGCACCGCCGGAAGTGCAAAAGTGCACCGGCTGACGTACGATGGCGCGACCAAGAATCGACAACAACGATCGACAGGTTAACGACGCATTAAATCAACCGTAAATTTCTTCCGAACGGTCCCGGTAACCGAGATTAATAAATCGCGGGGTAAATTTCAACTAGTTTCGCGAGCTCATCGACGGAAAAGTCCCGGTGGAAACCTGTTCCCCGTCAATGGACGAGGGACAAGAGCGGCCTCCCGTACCAAAACCGTAACGCGACTTATAAATCTAGTTCTCGCGTTGCGTAACGCGCCGGCCACGGGTAGTATTCAATTGTGGAAACGGGTAACGGTACCGCGTGAATGGCAATTGTCGGGCAGCCGGAGCCTCGAATCCGGGCGAGAGCCACTTTGCCAAATGCAGCGGGTCGCTGTTTCTCTGCTCTTGGGGAGAAACTTAGCCCGACGGTGAAGTACGCGGCGGTTTCTCACGGTACGATAGAATCGCCTCAACAATTTGTCTTACGCCTGAAATGTCAGCGAGCAGCGACAGGTTCGCCGGGATGATGACTTACTTCGAACCGTAAATATTCGCCGGGTGAAAGGCGCGGAAAAATTTTTCGAGAGTTACGAAACCAAGCGCCGCTTTGTCTCGCGGAACGGAGGATGAAGGTACTCGCCGATTGCGTTTAACCCTAATCCTACGACTTTCGGTCACGTACCGGCCTCCACGGAAAAAGGGGGGACTATCTGGGAGGTCTGTACCGTGAATTTCAACTGTCTCGGCGCCACTGGCCTACGCATATCTCTCGAACTATCGGGGATTTGCAATAAACGAAATGGAACTTGTTTCTGATTTTTATCGAACGTTCTTTACTAACGCTGTGTGTTATTTACGTAGTTTTGGCTTTTCTTCTCAATATTAACAAAATATGATAGAAATAGTGTACAGTAATGTCTACAAAGTACTCACCCATCTTAATACTGCAAGGGGGCAATTTCAAGCGACAAGTCATTCACAAGTTTTGAACCCATAAATATTGAAATATTTGCAGTGCTTTCTTTCTGATTCTCTCGATTTATTAACCACAATGACACTTTTACGACACTTTGCTCTCTATTCGTCGACGCACACGTAACCTAACCTCAACCTCGACGATTCCTTTAACTACACGTAAGACGCCAAGACTTGAATGAGCGATAGAACGTGTCTACCATGTTTCAGAAAATGGAATAGAAGTTCGCGTCGGTTTCAATTCGGTGATCAAGCGACAAGTCATTCACAAGTTTCGAACCCATAAATATTTCAATATTTGCAGTGCTTTTTTTCTGATTCGCTCGATTTATTAACCACAATGAAACTCTCACGACACTTTGTTCTCGAATCATCGATGCACACGTAACCTAACCTTAACCTCGACGGTTCCTTCAACTACGCGTAAGACGCCAAGACTCGAATCAGCGATAGAACGTCTCCATCATGTTTCAGAAAATGGACTCGAATGAAAAACAAATGTTTTATTCACTATTATTACAATCATGAAGGCGTAGATACCCCATAAATGGAATAGAAGTTTGCGAACCACGCGCGTCAGGGATTAGAGGGCGTAGCGATCGCGCCTATCGTCGGAAGCTACGCGTAAGACGTCATGAATTGAATTAGCCATAGAATGTTTGAACACATGGACTCGAACGAGAAAGAAATTTTTTCCCCCATTATTGTTACGATTAAGAAGGCACCGTAGATGTCGCAATTGGAATAGAAGTTCTCGACTAGGGGGCGTAGCGATCGAGGGATGTTTAATTTTGATCGTAAATCCCGAACGCAATAACGCGGCATTGTGCTTGGTGGGAGGTCGTCGGATCGAGTGGAGTCGCCGTGGATAATCCGCGGCGTTTCCCCGCGGTCAGAATAATGCGTCGTCGTTAGACGCCGCGCGGCGCTGAGGTCGCTGATGTTCACGATGACCGAACGGAACGCTCCGTAATCAGACTTTCTCGGCGCGGACCCGGCACGTGAGCGCGGAATTAGCGTCCGGGCGATAAATTAAACCGAGGAAGACGTCACGTCATCGAGGTAGGCGGAAGGGACCATTCAGCTGTACGGAGGGATAATAGGAAACGCGGAGGAGCGGTCAGGGTATTGGCAAACACGGAGCTAAAGCTTCACGAAAATTTATGGCGAAACCGAGCTGTCCGTAGTACTCGAGCGGTTTAAAATATGTTTATTCGCTTTTTCTTTGTTTAGTGCCGCCAGAGGGAAGTAACGTTTGCAATTAGTCGAATCGTTCCAGATACAAATACTTGCACGCCGTGAGTGGAATATGGAT